CCGCGCACCGCGGCCACCGGGGGGGGGGGGGGGGGGGGGGGGGGGGGGGGGGGGGGGGCATGACGTCAAACGTTACCACGGCAACCGAACACGAGACATTGTGGGAGGTGTAGTTTCCCCTCCCATTACTTCCCTAGCTTTCGTAAGGTAAAAAAATATGTAGTCAATATTAGCACTTTTTGATGTTTTAATAATACATTTATATTTCAACATTGTCACACTTGTAGAGTAATCAATGTGCAGCCAACAAATGCATTACAGGGACTTCTGATTAAATTCAATGTGTAATAGTGATGCATCTGAGCATGAAAACCTCAAACTGACACAGTAACTGATACTGTGATACTGTGATACTGTCTTACTGCAGGTCACACATTTCAATCAGAACAGATACAGACACAGCACATTGTGGCTAGCCCTGAATGCTGCCCATTATATCGGTAACAAAATGAGATATTGTCATTCTCCACACAGTGCGGAAATCTTGTCTGGAATTGCTGGAGATGCTGAGGGCATCACAAACTAGAACACAGGGCACAGTGCTACAGAGTATATCTTGCCTAATAGAAACTACTATTTCTGCATCCTGGTTGGATTCCAAGGGGAGAGAGTGAAGCTATTTCTGCCTTGTCACATGTTTTCCCCTTGGGCCAAAATTTCAAGCTTGTAACCTATTTAAGGGCAGATCAGATAGTGTTGGCTGTAGAGATGCACAGGCACCAGTGCACAAAGGTGTGGTCAAGGAGAGTTGTAGTGCCAAACCAGAGGGATTTCAAGTAAAGGAAACAAGTTGTAAGCTGAGTGACAGTGTAAAGTGTAAAGACGTGTAACCAGTTAGGTGAGTTCTCATTCAGTCTGTTAACCACATCTTGAGAACTTGGACACACGCTGCTGAAGTTGAAAAATCCTAACCAGCTCCAATTATTCTCCTCATAATTATCCACTGACAATAAATATCACATTATTATTTCGATAACATGTTTCTTAGACAATGGCAGTACTTATATTTTGTAGGGGTGGGAATCACCAGAGGTCCCGCGATACGATATTATCACGATACTTAGGTCACGATACGATATTATCACGATACTGCGATATTATCACGATACTGCGATATTCTGAGTATTGCGATACCATAGGCCTGTATTGCGATTTATTACTTTTTTCAACTTCAAATGATGTCCCCAAAGGAAAACTGCATCAACATGTTTTATCTAATAAGATAAAGTTGTCAGTCTGTTCATCTCACTTCAATCATTTTTATTGTAGCAAAATATGATTGTCTCCATCTTTGTTTTGACCAACTTCCTACCAATCACGCTCACCTTTGCTGACCTCACCAGAAAATAACTCAGCACCATCTAGTGGACTGAAAAAGTAATTGATTTGATTTTTCTAAAAAAAAAAAATAAAACATTTTTTTTTTTTTTATAGTTTAAATAATAAAAGATCGATACTTGGCGTCCTTGTATCGATACAATATCGCCACGCAAAATATCGCGATACTATGCTGTATCGATTTTTCCCCCACCCCTAATATTTTGTGACTTTGTGATTGTTTGTAATTTACTTCAAAATTTAAAGGGGTACTCTATGGATTTCATAATGATGTCATCCAGGTGATCTCAGCTTGGGATCGGACACCTCACATTTATAGCAGAACACCTGTGTTACAAGCTCTAATGGGAGAGGTTGGACTGTTCTTGCCGGGTTTTTCAGTTTGGCCAAGACGGCCAACTCCAGGAAGAGTCCTGGTGGTTTCAAACGTCTTCTATTTCCCAATATTGAGGCCACTGTGCACCTGGGAACACTCAAAGCTTTAGAAACGGTTTCATATCCTTGCCCTGATCTTTGCCTCTTTGTTTTACAGAGGCGTCCCTGGACTTGGTTTTTATCCTGACATGCAGCATAAATTGTGGGACCTTATATACACCTGTATGTGCCTTTCTAAACGAGGTCCAAATAACTCATTTTGGTTTGATTTTTAATACAAAAACCAGTGTTGGGATCTGACTATATGGCTTCGACATGTGCTGTGGAACAAAGAGAGAGTCAGGCCTTGCCTTTTGCAAGCAAAGGTTTCATCCTGATTGTAGTTTGATGAGCACCAAACCCCCCAACTTTGAAGAAATTCACATTAGAGTGTGAGTTTCCTCCCCGAAATGCCACACTGCTCTCATTGGACGAGAGCAGGGATGCCGAGGCGGGACCTCCGGTAAGACGATCTTGCTCCCCCAAAAACTATGCATTCCTGAAAGTACCTGAAAGCAGCGCTGCAATCTAATTGGCCGAGAGCCAAGACACCCCAGGACCCCTGTGGTTCAGCCACTGTTCTACAAAACTACCTGCAACCCCCACCTCAACGCTTTTTCCCCTTCGACCTCCGTCGAGCTAGGGAGCACACCAACGTTGTTTCCCTTTTCAACCAAATCCTAGGTCGAACAGTTTATATTCGCTGGCCGAATTCACCAAACTGTCTATTTTGTCTTTGTTCGTGTCCACGAAGCGAACCCCTTTTTAGTCCTGCAGAAGTGAAGAAACAAGACTTCTTCAGAGAGAGAGAGAGAGAGAGAGAGAGAGAGAACTTCCACTCTCCACCAAGCGCCTCGTTTGCTCCGGCCATAAGGACGCGAAAATCCCTTATCCAGACGACAGCGATTCTCTCCTACCGAGAGAACACCTCCCGCGGCCCATCGAAGCTCAGAAGAACCCCTCCCCCCTCAATCACCACGATTGCATCGTACCGTAAGGCGAAATAGAGTCTGGGCAGAGTTAGAGAGAGTTCATTTGTGTTTATTTAATCGTGTTTGTGTGCTTAAAGTACTGTTCGTCTTTATAACGTGGTGTATGCTTAATAATCGCATAATAAACGGTCGCTGAGATCGTTGGGGTTGTGGAGAAGCTAGTGTATTTCATGCTACCGTGATCTGTGTTGAGCTAGCCGCCTAGTGAGGTCGAAGTTGCTTCTCATCAGTTCAGGAGGTCAAAACCGCCGGCTGAGACAAAGAGTCGCGGTTCTTGCTCCCCTGGCTGAGAGAGCAATCTTCCGTACTCCCGCGCGGAGCGAAGGATCTTAATCTTTTGTTTTATTTCATTTTGTTTTGTTCCTTTCCCTTCTCTTTTACTAACACACACACACACACACACGTAGCTACGTGCGAAACGGCTACCGGCAAGTATAGACGCCAGGTCTCCTGTTGGCTATCCGCCATTTTGAGTCCGCGCATGAGAGACGTCACCACGTCCCAACTACGTCATACGTCGCTGAGCTGTTCCCTCGCTCCTCCTCCTCCTTACGCACACATACACACCCCCCCCCCTTTCAATCGTCTGTTGATTTTAGATAGCGTGCTCATGAATGTATAGTTGTTAGTTTAGATATTAGTTGACTAGATCATTAGTATTAGAACGTAATAAACTCTGTTATATTTTAAAGAGCAGCTGTCTGTGATTACTTTGTGCATGTGTATTGTGATAATAGCTGTATATGTGATCTGTGCTCGAACTTAAACCTTCACTTTCACTCTGAATGTGTAATAGTACTCAGACTGTTGACATTGTGAGTGAACACTAATTATGAGACTTAGTTTATCGTTTGGTTATTGGTCCCTGTTCGCAGGGTGGTGCCCCGTTATTATTAATAATTGTTACTGACATTAATAATTCTGTTGTCAAGAATTTAGTTTCTTAGATGCTGATAACCCAAACACGTTCCTTTACGTTCCCAACATATTGGTGCCCCCTTTTTGGAGGCTATGTTATTCCCAACACCAGTTTCACTTTGTCATTATGGATTATTGAGTCTAGATTTGAAGCGTGTAAGAAGTGAATTTTGCTACATTTCTCGTTACAGAATTGGTTTTATCGTACATTTTGTGGATGAGCAACAAGAAAGGGTCTTGGTCGCTCACCAGGGTATAAACTGACAAGCTAATAAAACTCAGATTATCATGATTTATGGGGTCCGGAGCAGTAACTGAAAGGACTGACAAGGTGAGGAAATGCAACGTATTCATTTCCACCTTCATCTCACAACTTATAGATATGAGTGCTCACTGTTATACGATTGATTATAATGGTTTAGGAATAACTACAGTACACAGTTTCAAACAGGTGAGGCTGGAATTAGCATTACATCAATACTCTATCCAGTAGATGGAAACATAAAGGTCATTAAACTAACACAAACACATGCACATAACAATACAAAAACACAACTTGGTCATGATTCATATAAAAGCAACAACTTTATTAATAGGCTAGACATAACATTGTGGGGACAAATAAATGATTGTTACAAAAGTAAAAACATGACTTAAGCACAGTGGTACAATGTCAGTGGTTAATGACCAGCAGGTCCAAATGTATTGAGGATACGAGGAGATTGTTGGGAGAATCATTTACAACACCCTGTACAAACCCCCCCATTTCACTCAACAGACAGCTTCTCACGAGGTGAAGGATAATATTACTGCTTCATGCTGTACGAAAAGAGGGGGGGGGGGGGGGGGATAGTTTCATGGAAGGTTTGTCATACGAGTTGCACATGAGAAAGCTACACAGTGGTCATGAACTAGAGATACATAAAAATATCAGTGTAGCACAATATATTCTCACCAAGAATATCATCCTAGATTTAAAAAAATTATCCAGGCAAGGTAAAAAAAAATCAGTGCAGACTGGAGGTAAATATAAATCTACTTAAAATAACACAATATTAGTGGTTTTAAATAAGTGTCTTTCCAGGCACACTATGAACTCCAAAGTCATTCTGAATAAAGTATAAATATGAGCTCAACCCCAGCACATCACAAATTCCTTTCAAAAATCCACAATGGCTTTCAAAGTACGTTGGAGTTGGATGCAGATGACTTCCAATTATCATCTTAGTATCACAACTTTGTTCATCTGTGCCAATTTGACATTTTCTTCTAAATCCAAACCGTGTAATGAAACGGTGTGAGCCCTGAGGTGACGGAAGAGTTCATGGACAAGCTGATCTTTTCAGCAGAATGTTTTGAAGCGATGAGACGGAAATATTGCATACAATCATAAGATTCATAGCTGCCTGCTGTGTGTCTACCCTCAGTGCTGACCCCAGATCGAATTCTCAATAGTGAGGATAGTTTTGCAAAAAATCCCATTTGGCAAAAAGACCACGGGAAGGCAGTTACAGTAACAACCCTGCATTAAACACTCGTATATCAAGAACTAAATTCGGCAGCATGAGGAATAAGCCCCAACGGTCTTACTGAACGAGAGGTGAATCTATTATGCCTCCACACCGACCAACTCCGGGGGCATGGAGGACTCTGGATGTTTGCTTTCAAAGTGCTGCTTAAAGGTCTTCGGGTCGGGCATTTGTGTCTGAGAAAGTGTGGGTAAGAAAAAAAGAAAAAAATTTGAAAATATACATTTTGACAGTATATAAAAACCACACAAATAAAAATAAAATTGATAAACAAGACACGTTCTCATGAAATTGTATTCGTTAGCCCTGGTACACCGATCGCACCATAAGAGGTGGAAATCTGGTCTTTCGAAACAAGTTCACTTGACGGCTCAAGACGCATAGTACACCACCACCACAACGGCAACATGTTCATACTCCTTCAGAGCTGCTACCTTCATAGATGATGATGCGAGAGGCTGGTTGTCAGTGATCGCTGGGACAACAGATTACTTTAAATTCGGCATTTACTTACAGGTGACATACATGTAACTAGCCACCTTTTCTGGTGAGCGTTTAATCAAAAAGATGTACTGAGGAAGTAAAGCATGAGTTAGCATATCAGCTCATATCTATCCCTGATGTCGTTTAAAACGTCATCGCTAACAACAGACGAACAGTGCATTTCAGCAGTGAACACAGACAGAGGTGGAGGTAGGAATAAGAGGAACGTGCAGAAAAAGACTTCATGAAGCACGTTTTGCCCACTTTCATACCTGTGATCTGGACATTCACTGAAGAGGGTGTGACCATGAGGCGCATGAGACTCATTTGCCTGCCCCCCCAAATCTACTGATTTCCATCCTACGGTAATGGTTAAATGAAACCAAGAGCTCATAAAAGAAAACTTGTATGTTCCGTTTTCCGCCTAATCACATACCCGACACACAGTGCACGTGTATACTAAAGCAGCCATAGCCGCTGCCTTCTGGTCATGGCCTTTGCTCTGCTTGATGTCTGCCTGCTTTTTGGCATTCTTCTGCTGGGACTGGAACTTCTGGTGCCCACGGGCCATATCTGATGCTGAAGAAATTATACAGGAATTTGATCACTACAGCACCATAGAGAAGGTGATGAGCCATAAACTGAGAGACTATAAAACCTAGAACCCCCCTGAGAAGAGGGTGGAAAGGAAAACGTGAAGCACAGAGGGGGATGAAAGATGGAGCAACTGGAAACACGAAGCAGTTACACCAGTGAAGACTGCAGATGAAGCAACCTTGACGACTATAGGATCAATAGACTTCAAAATGCAATGGTTTTGAAATATCTTCAAGAACGAGGTTAATTGCCACTTTTTTTGGGTCACAGGCAATTAACTTGGAAATTTCCCCAAAGAAAATCAGACTGCAGATGTCATAGCTGTAACGGATATAATACTATAACTAGGTCAGCGATATGATTGTGTAAGAAGTTTGTTTTAACTGCTTTTGACGAGGGAGGGACTGTTACTCTGTCAAAACACTGGAGACAGTCATAAATCACTCCAACAACGGTCTGAGAAAGGAGTGACGTTACCCATTTCCCTCTTTGCTTGTGACTTTATGTAAACTTACTCGGCAACCTTTTTGACGTGACATTCAAATGCCATCCACCCACGAGCACTGAGGGTGACGTCAGTTCAGTCTGCGCCATGCATGGCTTTCGTGGGGCTAACCTAACCTGACGTCCTAACGCTATCCGACTAGTTTAGCAGTAGCGTTAGCCAACTTTAGCTCGCCACCGACCATCTGGTTTTAAGAGCGACGGTTGCAAATAGATAACGTGGAAGACAAGGTCGCCTTGGGGACACACAACTCGCATATTTAAGTCCATCTATAGAATAAATATAATGTTAAAGGAAACGACTAACTTAATCAAGAGAGGCAAGCATGCTGTTAGCCGGTAGCTATCGCTCACGCTAGGTTAGGTAACGTTAGAATAGTTTGGAGGAACACACACAGAAAATGGAACATTGATAGATATTAAGATGTAAAGGTATTACGAGTCAAATTACATATTTTTTTAAAATGCCTTACCAGTGAAAATAAACGTATTCCCACCAAAATGGAATTCATGAAACACCGCGCTAATGCGCCTGCCCACAACCTACACTATGCTGCCTTCAAGTGTTGTCAGTGGACGCGAGAGAACCGTTCACAATTACGCCTGTTCGGCGATGTAGGGATATGGGTTGGATGTGAACATTCCTGACAGCACCCAAAGGCAGCATCAGCTCCATCCTCTCTTGCAACAGGAAAGGCTTCAAATAATACGAAATACGAATGCACCAAGGTGTATGTGCGTATATCAGCACTTAACCGATACAAAACATCTTTCTAAAATCAATGCGCATAGCCAACCACATTTGTGGAATGCATATCTGAGTAACATTTTCAGTCTGCATGGTGCAAATTGAAATGCCTACCACAAGGTGTCACGGTACAGACAACAATAAGGCCAAGTTTACTCACACCAACTACTATACTTTCCTCTTGCTGCATATTAACAGCTGTACAATATCATGATGATAGAGACAATATTTGTCTGGCATATAAGCATATGTATCACAAACCTTAAACCTACAGACACTATTTTCCTTTTCACTGTGGTTATATTTATCATACACTTAACTCTTAAGTCTCATCATCAACTAGAGGGAGGGGTTACCAGTAAAAATCCCTTTACCTCTGATTATCTGCTACATAATGTCCGTGGCCCAACTGAGCGAGAAGAATGCATGCTGTCACACATTACTTTGTTGCTCACCGCCTCCAGAGCACAACAAAACGTTGAAACTGAATTTCGATATCGGCGTGACCGCTTGTCGCTCATTGTAGGCCACGCCCCCTCCCCTCTCGCTCACCAATGGAGGAACGACTATGCCACCTGTGTAGAAACATCCATCCAATCAGCCATGCAATTTTCGTTTCCTTGTTTATCCTGCCTGTGCGGCTGCTGCAGACGGCAGTAGTATACCAATCTCTTTAAATTACGAATTTACGAAACAGGATCGAAACCTGCACGTCCAAGAAACGTAGCTTCTTTTTTTCTGTAGTCAGCGTAGCCTCAATTTTTACCTGACATCACAGGCATCCGAATATACCTTAGTGCGCAAGGTTACAGAGGATTTCATTGGGTGTTTTGACTGAGAGGTTAAATAGAGCCAGCCTCTTGCACGCCTAGTTTTGTTACTCTCCCACGCAAGCTTACCTGCACTAACTAGAAATTCCAGTTTCTCAAGCTAGTCCTAGAAAACACCGGAGAGTCCTGTAGGCAACATGGACCTGGACAGGTAAGAAAAAGTCATTATTACTGCGAGGAATAACGCCCGTCAGTTTAACTTCAATTTTTACATGCTTAAAATATTTCATATGTCTTTGGTTTCATAGTTGTTTTACACATAGGCATAACAGGCTTTCTCATTGAAAAACTACATAATTTCTATAGTTGCCTTCAACATCTATTTGATTTGGGGGAATTTCTATTGGTATAGATTCAATTTCAGAAATATCCAAAATGAATATGCTGGTAATATCATAGTGATTGTGTAATAGGAGAACCATTACTGTAATTTAATGAGGTCTTTTTAAGCGTTACTGTGTTTGTATGCACTATTATTATTGCAAAATGTTTTGTTTCACTATAAATGTCTGTGTGTGTGTGTGTGTGTGTGTGTGTGTGTGTGTGTGTGTGTAAATATTATATTGAAATATTGTTCAACATGTGCCCTTACCATCCTCTCTGAATGATGTCTCAAAAATGACATATTTAGAAATAACTCTTATGTCAGCTTTCTGACATTTTCAGAATTGAACCAGTACAGTTGAGTTATTTAAATGTGGCATACAGGAGTGAACTTACATTAACACACACGTACCGGGCAAATTAAGTTGACGTTTGGTGAGAAACAGCCTGGGGCAGATGTGGCGGCTTGGCAGACGCGGCTTCTGTTGATGACAGATTGGCTTTGCAGTAACAACATTGTCATCTCTTCCCATTACCCCCTCGTCCTCCCAGTAAACGGCTGGTGGTGGTGGTACCCAACGAGGTGCTGGTGCCCTCTCGCAGAGTGCCGAGCAGCGAGGACGAAGCATGGAGGAGCTACCTGGAGAACCCGCTGACCGCTGCCACCAAGGCCATGATGAGCATCAACGGAGACGAAGACAGCGCAGCAGCACTGGGACTGCTGTACGACTACTACAAGGTGTGGAAAGCTTGACATTGCAGCCAATGACATTATGATATAATAAAGACAATTCCCGCATAATGTATTCAGATTGTTTCAGTTCAATTATTTTTTTTTGTATTTGCTATAACCTTGTCAGGTTCCCAGAGAGAGGAGATGTGCCTCAAGCGGTGTTAAACCCACAGAGCCTCCTCCAATTGGGCCTGAGAACTGCGGTAGCCTGGAGATTCTAGATTACCATCTTCACGCTCTCAGATCCATGCCCGTCAACCTCTCCCTAAACAACAACACCGCTGCAGAACATCAGGGCTCCAGGTATGGAGCCGCCTGCCTCGCAGGAGACCCCAGAGGAGGAGATTGTAAAGGTGGAGGTGGGGCGGCTCTGGCTCTGGTCAAGACAGAGGGCCAGACATCTGGAGGGTCGTACCGAGAGGAGCCCAGAGAGGAGATGAGGATGGCTTACGAGCAGAGCCACTATGATTCGTCCCGCGCCGGGTGCTTGAAAGATGAACACAGAGGCACTCCAGACAGCACATATGAGGACGCTGTAGAAGGAGAGGTGAGCCTTGTTATACAAGAGGGGTGATGTCTTGCTTTGTAAAGCGGGTTCACGTTTGCTCCATAAGTGACAGTCCTGCATTATATGTCGCATATATTTTCTTTATCAGATGTATCACAGGAGTCCCTCCTCAGGAGTTGATGAGTCCCACCACAGCCCACCAATGTAAGTTAAAAACTCACAGATGAGGGAAAACATTAAACATACATATGCTTTGGGTTTGTTTATCAGATGTTAAAGGATAAGGCTGGCAATCTTCAAAGTGTGTGTCCTTGTTGACACTTTTAAGACCAAAACCAAGTTTGTGTCTCACTTCATGACTTCCCCAGCCTTTCTGTGGCTCGCCGCCTCAAGCCCATTCATTCCCTCTGAGCAAGAACTCTCACATGAATATAGATTCATTCTTTTAAATGAAAGCCTCAGTCTCAACATAGCTGGGCACTGTAGTTTCTTTACTCACAGGAGTAAATGCTGTTTGTTGGGGACTATTTTCAGTTGGATTAATGCACGTTTGCTGTAGTGAGAATTTACTGTAAGGCAGCAAGACTGTATGTCGGATAGAGTCAAAACAAAAAAAGTAAAATGCGTGTGTGTGTTCATGGTCATGAAGGAACATATAATGATGTGTTCTCTTTTTATTTCGGTCAGAGCTCTATGGCACCAAGGAATAAGATACACCACGATTTGGATACACACATAATACCTGTTAGTAGATACATTGATTGTTGGTTTGATCTTGTCATGGTATTTGCTGACAATAAGAAACATGCAACCAGAACTATCATTTAGAAGTTGTGCTGTTGCATACTTTTGATAAATAGTTACAAAAACCAGTTTGTTTAGAGCCATTAGAAGAAGTTCTTGCTGCATCAGTCTTCTTCTCAAGCTCAATTTACTCAATAAAAAAATAAATAATAATAATTATATGTATATATTACTCACAGTGGCAGCTTCCAGTACTGTCTGGAGGCCAGCATGTCGCTGCGGCCGTGGCAGGGAGAAGGACCCATGGCTTACCTGAACCGGGGCCAGTTCTACGCTCTGAGACTGTCGAAGGCCGGCTTCAGATTGTCCCAACTTCAGCCCAGAGGCAAAGTGCGGGTGAGTGGACCGACGCCGTCACGGGGGCCCGATGGGGGCCCATCCAGTAATGAGCAATGCACCATGGGAGGCTCTGAGCGGCAGCGGGACAGTATTGTACAGGTGAGGGAGGGGCTGTAGTTCATGGAGTGTGGAGGTAGAGGTTGAGGGTTCTACATTTAGCTTGTTGTCGGGTAGCGTGAAATCTTGTTACACTCTGAAATGTAATATAGTTTTTGATTCATTTTTACTCTGCTTGGACCTGACTATACTGTAATATATTTTGTATATCTTCGCTTCTACTTCAGAGTGTTATCATGGTCGTCTTTGGGGAAGACAAGTGCAGAGACGAGCAGCTGAAGAATTGGAAATACTGGCACTCCCGTCAGCACACTGCCAAACAGAGAGTCCTGGACATTGGTAAGATGATTATTGTCATCAAGTCTGCCTGCTACATTCATGGCCCCCTGATGGGGGTTTGCAGGTGGAACAGGATTAGGCCCAGATACACACTTGGATATCGATATTTAGACACCTAAGCTCCACAAAACTACAGAGTTAAAAAAAGGAGAGAGTAAGCAGGTGGCAAACCTGCAGGAGCCTCCTGGAGGATCCTGTCACATATCCCGAGGTTAAACCCGACTCAATTTGAATAACTGTCAATCCTCGATTCCCACAGGAGCGCTGCGAATAGACAGCCAATGGGTTTTCATTTGCATAGACGTTAACAGGAGAAATAGGCGGAGGCCTGGACTGGAGCCACATCCTGTACCATCAGCAACAGACAGGCCTCAACCTGTGGTTGGAAACTCAATGGAATGAGGCAGAGATGTCAGACACCATGGTGGGTTTGTCTGTGGCAAGTTCATGCCAGCATCATGGTAAAATCTGTAACCTAACGTGTGTGGGTGGGAATGAATGTGATGAGACGTTTTAGGAGGTAACAAGAGCCTTGTGGCATTTTTTTACTAATTTGGAACTTGATTTGTTGGCAATTTGGTTACATGGGGGAAAAGTTGCCAGATTATGATATAGACACTGTATGTGAGATAAACATAAAAATGAATGCGTTGTAAATTAAACCAGTGGTTTCTAACCTTTTAGGCCTGTGACCCCTTTATAAAAAATATCTGTGTCTGAGTTTTGAGCAGTTCCACCAGACTCTCAGGTTTGTTTAATTAAATGAGGTGTTCAAGGTCCAATATCGTTACAAAAAAAGGCAGAAATTTGAGAAAAGTAAAAAAAAAAAAAGTAGTTCTAGCGGACTAAACTGCCCAAAAGTATATAAAGTAGTAGCTCCACCATGGCCAGTTACAACAATAAAATGCTAATCATGCTTAAGTGTATCCTTGGGGATTTAAAATGTTTGCTTTGTTGCAAACAAAAATGTAGTATTTTTTTGTTGTTGACAAAAAAACCCCGAAATGTTAAAATTAGGGCTGACACAAAATGCCCACTGAAACGGTTTTCTCTGATCTTCACTTTGCATCTGCAGCCGACTATAAGGAGAGCTTCAACACGATCGGGAACGTGGAAGAAATTGCCTTCAACGCCGTCTCCTTCACATGGGACGTCAGCGAAGAAGCTCAGGTACAAAAGCAACAGAGGAAACGGGCTGGGCGGGGTGCTGTCTTAAGTCAAAGCAGGAAATGATTTAAGCAAGCCAAATGACACAGCTCGCACTGTTTGTTCTTCTACCTTCACTTTCACACGCACTCAAGCAGTCAACTCAGTTTTGCTATATTTCTTTCTTTCCTTTCGTCAGTACGAAACTCATAGCCACTTGTGGGGAAGTTTGCTCCATGAAACCACACAATAGTTGGAGCATATATCCCCCTTTTGTAAAGGTGGCCAGTTGGATAAAGACAATTGGCAAACGAGGTGTACACACACACACACACACACACACACACACACACACGGCAGCAGCCCACCCTCAGGGTGTTTTGGGCCCAGGTAAGAGAGGTAATTGCAGCTTCATGGGTTTGTGGATGAATATTTACTGTTTGGCTCAAACCTTCATTCCACACTTCCTTGTTTTTAGTGTGTTCAGGTTAGAGATGCACCGATGCTGGCTCAAATAGCTGGATCAATTCAATACATTTATATTATTGTATTTATTTACTACATTTAGTGTTACACAAAAGAATCCGCTTGTTGTACACCTGACCACAGTAATGCACAATTCTTTTGAGAAGGTACTGCTGACTTTGTGTAGATGGAAAGCAGCTACAGTTAAAACATGAACTTCTTCACACATTCCATCTTCTGAACACTAGTTGTTACAGCTTGCTGTGTTTCATCGAGCAGCTCTCCGGTGATCCTCCTGACTTCTAGCCCAAAACACTTGATCCTACACTTCCCATAATGCAAGTTGCATCCTTTCAGTAGACACCCTCTGAATGGTAAACCGCCACATCTTTTTCTTTTTATGACTTTTCATCTAGTGTCATCATATTTGGTTTTGAGTCAAATGTCTCGACAAGTATTGGATGGACTACCATCAAATTTGACATAAAACAATCAAGTTCCCCTCTGGATGAAATAGCTATGGTGACCCACTGTGCACTTTACAGTCATTTGTAACTCAATCTCATCACCCGTTGGCTATTGGGCTGATGACAATTTAGCCTCTGGGGGCAAGGGCCAGTATTTCTGGGGTTTCATCAGATACCCTGACCAAGACTTCCTTTTCCGTGCGGCGGTCGTTGTTTACACTCCGATTAGCAACTTGAGACGCCAGACTGGAGTTGAGAGATGATGTCTAACTTCGGATTGTTTCACGAGTAGCCAGTTAACAAGCACATTTTTAAACTAATAAAAAAAGCTAAATCATTGTCAGACTATAGCCGGTGGATTCCCATATTGCATTTCAGCCAATGCGCTCAGCCACTTTTGCTCTCTGCACAAACGTTTTAACCCACATTGAACCAAAGCACGCTCCAACGCGATCGTGCAATCGGACTACAATTGGAAACTAGAACGCTTCCAATACCAAAGCCTTGTCCCGTTGATTCTGCATTCATATGTCAGCATCAGTTTGTAGAGATTACTTGTAACTAACCTGGCAAGAGAAGGCTAAAGTAAATATCTAGGGGGAGAAGAAAAGTTCCGTCTTCTATGTTCCTAAATGCCATCCATCCCTTAAACTTCACTCATGTGGTAAATTCATTTAAACAGTTCATTGCACTGAATATCAATGAGATCATTTTGAATATGATGATATAAGTAAAGCCTCACCAGAATATTCCAGTCCGAGTATTGAATGCTGGTGGTTGAGCAGGGTGAGGCTCTGGTTGTGCTGATTGTGGATGTCAGTGCTTGGCTTTGCTGTCAGAAACCAGATGATGGTTATCAGCCTCGCTGCTGCACACTGCCGGTCCTCCTGAGCCCCCACACAGACCCAGAGCCTGCTGGAGAAAGAACACCTCTGTTATTGTGAGGAGGTCTGTGTGCTCGCATGTCGCTGCTGTCGCCTCTCTTTCTCTCTGTGTTTGTCACCTAGACATTTAGGTTCTCCAAAACCTAATTGGATGTCCAATCAGGCTCTGAAGACGCTGACGTACAAAATTGTTATTTTTGGTGCAAATTATTATTATTATTATTATTTTTTGGCCTGGCTCTGCTGTTGCCAAGCAACAATCCTCATCCTCATTGTAATGGGAGCGTGGAATGTGTTTGCAGGGGAGAGGAGCGGCTTCCTGCTGCATGACTCTGTATTTTTTTGTTGTGTTTGTTTGTTTGTTTGTGCCTGGTTGAGAGGATGGCACCGAACAGCCACTTACCGGTGCCCTCGTGAACCTTTCTCTTTTTAGGAAGGCGTTTGAAAGCTCAGTATGTGCACACACAACGAGCCTCCCACACACACACACACACGCACACACACACACACACACACACACACAGATGCTAGCAGCAACACGTCCAGCGCTCCTGGAGGAAATGAAATGGCTTGGGTCTGTGGAGGTGTGGATTTGTGGAGGTGTGTAGGAGGCTCAAGTGTGCTTCAGGCCTTTCCAGCAATCAGCCCTCACCTCTGCAGGTTCAGGCACGATGCAGCTGATGCCGTGTAGTGGGAACATTTGCTGTTGAGCCGCGGTGAGGAATCTCTACGGTTATCCGTCTCCGCCGACCTGTTGCTCAGGCTGTCGGACCTGTTCATCAGGAGTTTATGTTGGTTAAGATGTTTTGGCATCATCATCAATCATAGCGGGAATCTGTTCCGTCATGCAGCTGAATGTGCAAAGATAACCATTAGTATCATTAAAAGTGTAAACTTCATGGTTTAGATACGTTTTGCGACTGTACTGGAACTTGGATGAAATTTTGTGAATTTCCTTTTTTTCCTCTCACAAGCTTTTAAATGATTCAGCAGCTCGGCTCCATTACTTAGCTCCGGGACAGCACGATGTGGCAGCGACGAGTAGTTCAGTATTTCTGCATGCCAAACACACCGTCCTCTAAATCAAGAGTTCATTGCAGTGCATTCCATTTAACAGGTGCACCCATGATGTATCAACTTTCACACAGCTTGTTTTAAGTCACAAAACTCCAGACATTTTCTGACTTCTTTCTTCTTCCTAGGTCTTCATCTCTGCAAACTGTCTGAGCACAGACTTCTCTTCGCAGAAGGGCGTGAAGGGGATGCCTCTGATAATCCAGATCGACACCTACAGCTACAACAGCTGCAGCAGCAGGCCCATCCACAGGGCCTTCTCTCAGATCAAGGTCTTCTGTGACAAGGTGAGGATGTCCTGCTGGCACAAGTCAGTTCTCTGGTCTGCTCAGCACGACTTTGATCAATTTTTGTTTGTTTTTTGCTTTACACTGACTGTCTTTCAGCAGACTCTTGTCTTTTCTGTCCCGTCAACGGCTTTCATCTTTTTGCAGGGTGCTGAGAGGAAGCTTCGAGATGAGGAGAAGAAGCAGCTCAGGAAGAGGATGAAAGGTAAAAACATAAATTTTTTCTTACTTCAGTTTGGCTAAATAATGAAGTATGAATTACATACCTCACATGTACATCACGTACAGAAATAACATTTGTGAGCTTGATTTAAAATCAATGGAAGTGGCGAAAGCCAGGGAAATGTAATCAAATCTGCACTTGGAGTGGTTGCCTGGCAACAGATGCTGAGTTCACACACTCTCTCTGGTTTAGGGAAAACTGGCAGCACAGGGCTGACCTCTCCCTGCAGGAGGGCTGATAGCACGCTGTTCAAAACCATGATGGACCTGGACTCCCAGCCTGTCCTCTTCATTCCTGACGTCTACTTTGGAAACATGCAGAGAGCCGGGCAGGTGAGGGACCCCTCCCTGTCTCATTGTCTCTCACACACACACACACACACACACACACACACACACACACACACACACGCGTCCTGCAGTGTACCTCATGTTGCCTTTCTACTCCATTTGCAGGTGTTTGCTGTCAACACTGAAGAGGGCACCAGAGATGGGTTAGTATCATACTGTTCTGTTCACACCTCTGGTTTGATGGTCTCCATGTTGAAAATCCACTTGTTAGAGTTCCAGTAATTTTCCCTTTAAATGTTGATGATGATGTTGACGACGACTGTGTGTGTGTTTCAGAAGTGTCCTTGTGAAAACGATGTCATCTGCCTCTGAGGAAGACGTCTGTCCACCTCAGCCCAAGAAGTCCAAAGTGGAAGTGGAGAGCAAAGGTTGGTAAATGTTGGTTTGTCTCTCATTACAGGGTTTTGGTCTCATACAGTATTATTTACCTGAATGGATTTGAATGCCTTGTCTATTCCATTTCCTCATCAGTTCTGCTGTATGTGAGGAAGGAGAGTGATGAAGTGTTTGATGCCCTAATGCTGCGCACCCCAACCCTACAGGCATTGATGGAGGCAGTGAGTATTGATGAGCTGCTTTACTGTGAAACAATACAAACACAAGGAATAGTAATGATACATTTAGTGCCTCATGGTGCTTCGTGTTACAAATGCACTTGTTTTCTTCTCTGTGTTCCACAGATCTCAGAGAAATATGCAGTACCTATTGCAAAGATGGTCAAAGTCTACCAAAAAAGCAAAAAAGGGTGAGTGAGTCAAACTATTGAGGCACCATGGGGCTGAGCTAAATGCTAACGTCTAAGAGTAGGCTTCAAAAAAGTTGTTAAGGCACTTCACTAAAAAGCAGAAAACCACCACCTCACAGTGGCAGGGGGATCGCCAGAGTCCGTAGTGGACCATGCATGTGTGTATAAAATATTCTTTTCAGGTGATTATACACTAAAGAAAACATACTTAATATTATATTATTACCAATACTACCCCTAAACGCTACACACTGGCCCTCTTTAAATAGTTGTTATTTTGGACCAAAGTGATGGGCCGCAAATTACCATCCGTAGATTTATGCTAGCATGGCTAAAGTAACATGCAGATTACACGCCTTCAAGTGACCCAGGCACTCTTGACTGTTGACGTGTTTGGTCTTCCTCAGGGTCCTGGTGAACATGGACGACAACATCATCCAGCACTACTCCAACGAGGACACCTTCATCCTGGCTATTGACGGCTCAGCAGAATCTTTGCGCGTCACTCTGTCAGAAATCTGACAGTTGTCGGCCACAGCGCTGTGCTCACCAGCGGGCCAGTGGTGATCCCGGCTTCAGCCGCGCCACGTGCAGCAATTGTGAACGTTGCTAGCAGTATTAGACGATGGTGCCAAAATGTGTTCCTTGAGGGCGGCCTCGTAGGAGTCTCTGTTCGGCTAAACTCCACCAGGCAAAATCCAGCTTCACCTCACCTGCTGCAGTACCCGTTTACTACACGACCTGCGTAGGAGGGTTTCATTCGGAATGCAGGCTTGACTTTGAAAACTTATGGAAGTGTCCATGATTTGGACACTTCCATGATATTTCCTGGCTAACTACCCGCAGAAGTCTCGAGTAGCCGATTGGAGTTAACTTGTTAATACTTGCTCCTTCAAAAGAGAGGCCTTTATCCAGGTCACCGCAAAGCACCCAGCCAGCCTGCTGTGGTTTCACAGGAAGAGGACGACACAGTGTACAGCGGTCTTATTGAATTAACAGCAGGGACTGCTGCTTGCTTCCTCTGTGCCGTCTGCCTTCTGTCCCGTTAGCCCTACTAGTGGTGGAAGCTTTAAAACGACTTCATCTGATGTAACGTTTCTTGCTTCAAAGCAAGTCAATGCAGCATTTTATGCTGGCACTCAACATATCAAGGTGAATGACTTATTGTTTTGTATGTATATAATTCTTTTTTTAGATGTCTCAAACTGCTGTCATGCCATGCTTCTAAGTCAAAATGAACTTGCTCTTATCTTTCCTGGTTGTCCATCTTTGTGTCATTGATTGGCCACATGTACTGCATACTAAATGATTCCAGTTGATGCCAGTGAAATACCACTTATCCCAGATGGTGATCACATGCTGAGACACCATTATGGAAGCAGACAGAGAGTCTCCAGGATGCTGTTAAACTGTTTGGCTTCCTCTGTGTATGTGTTTATTGCCTTTCCTACAGACATTAGTATATAGGACATTAGTTCGGGACTTATGGGGACCAACTGCTGCATCCATTTACACAATCCAATGCTTATTGCTCTTTTCCAACCCACTGCCTGTGTTTACCACACTGACAGCTTCAGCATCCTGCATTTTCTCCATGCACCATCATGTACAGTCTTTTGAATGAGTCAATAAATATAGTTTTATAAGCAGTCACTTGTCTTGCTTTTTACCACTTTCTGATAAGGCACCCTTTATAAAGGCTTGTAATTAATGGCTTTATTAATGGTTAATAATCAGCTACTAATATTTATAAATCATTAGTGCTGGGCAAGTTAACGCGTTAATTTTGCATTAAGGCATTCATTAATTAACGCCGACAATTATTTTATCGCTCGTTAACGCATTTTTTAAAATTTATTATAATTTATTTATTTTTATTGAAAGACAAGAGACAATACATAGACATAACAACAAGAGGATGACAAGAACAGTGGGATAAAAGCCAGCAAACATCCTATGTGTGTGTGTGTGTGTGTGTGTGTGTGTGTGTGTGTGTGTGTGTCCTTGAGCCTTTTGAGATGGGAAAAAAATTAATAATTAAAAAACAATAAAAACAGGTAAGTATTTTTAATTTATTATTATTGTAACAGACTGTCTCATGTTTATCATTTTGTATTGGAGATATGATGTCCCTTCAGGGTTGCCGTAGAGAAAAGGCGACTTACGCTTCTGGTCGAGGGGGGGCAGAAATAAAGAGAGAAGCTGCACCAGCTGTTGCTCTCCCTGGAGACTACTGGACATCGCTGTGGTAAAGTCAGCAGACACTTACATTTTAGTGCACCTATATGCTGAAATTCACGGTAAACGCATTTAAACGGCACAGATCAGGAGCTGCGAAGGACTTTGAAAGTTAGCAGAAACATTAACGTGAGACATCATCCGGTTTCTTCAGACGAACATCCGTTTTTCAGAATAAGATGCCAACAAAGTATGAATTATATTCATATTAAGTATAAAACATGCTACCTGCATCTCGTGAATCAAATGTTATTGCCCTTTTGTTCATATAGTAGTACTTTTAAAATAAAAGTGCGCAATACACTACTTTTGAATTCATTATTGAACTTTGCCAAAACAATGCGATTAATTGCGATTAATCGCAAAAAATCCATGCGATTCATCGCGATTAAATATTTTAATCGTTGCCCAGCACTATAAATCTTGTACTACTACTACTAACAAGAGCATATTTCTGGTTACCAGGTTGAAAAAAAAATCATTGTGGTTGTTTTTTTATTTAAAATCATTGTGGTTGTTTTTTTATCCATTCTTTTTGGTAACAAATGCAATTATAAATGCTTTATACAGTATGTTCTCAATAAGTGGATTTTGGTCCAGATGCTCTGCAGCCCAACTTTTGGGTTTTTACTTTTCATAACCTGGAAACCCAAACGCTGTTCTTATTAATGGCTTATACCTCAAAATGTGTACAATTTTAGTATCAAATGATTTCAGAGAGCAGTTAGCAGTGACCAGCGGAGGCAACAGCTACACACAATTTTGGAATTGAACAGTGATAAGTACTCTGAGTAAGATGCAACATGATGCATTCAACAATAATCATGTTCACATCTTAGTGCCCTAATGTTCACATTCACTACATTTGTATCAGGCATAAAATGTGAAATACATAATTATTAAATCAGATGAGCTTTCAAATTCTGTGGAGTTTGAAAGACAACAACGTATAGACATGACAAATGACAAATTATTCTAAATGCATACACTTACCATTAAGCTCATTTTTAGTTTAAAGCCTGTGTTCCATTTATAGAAAAAGCAGTATCAGTTACACATGTAGTTATTGTATATACGAACATTTTATAGGACCTCAGAAATATATCCTTGAAGTCATAGTACAGTTTGTTGAAATAGTCATAGTATAGTAAGTCAAGAATAGGTCATAGTATATTATGGCGAAAAGCGTCAAGAAAAAGTAACAGCAAATTATGTCAAAAAAGTCATAGTTTAGTTATTAGTATGTTAGAAAAAGTCAGAAAAAAGTCGTAATATGGTATGTCAAAAAAGGTCATGAAAAAGTCAGAGTATAACGTCAAAAAAGGTCACTATGCTACACTATACTATGATTTTTCTTTAGAGATACAACACTTCGACTTCTTGACACACCATACTACTGTTTGTTATGACATCATATCATATGGCTTTTTATGATTTTCTATGACATACCAAACTATAGCTTTTTTTAGGACTTCTACTCCTAAGACTGTTCATGACTATTTTGATATACTACACTATGGCTTTACATTACTTTGATTGCTGTTGTGTCCTCCCTTGTACAAAGGAATCACATAAGCTGACTTCCAGATACTGAGATGTTATGTGTCAAAATGCCCGACACTGTTTATTAACGCTCACAAACTGGCAAATGATCAGTTCAAATTAGTAATATTTTATTTTGTCTTGAAATACAAGATTATTTGATATTTAAAAACTATTTGAACCTTCTTTTTTTTTTAGCTCAACTGCAAAGCATGCTGGGAAGAATGATAACAAGCTCACAACCTTTCAGTGTTCAGATTTCTGAAATGGTTCCAAAGCAAAAATAATTGTTCTCACTTTGTACTGAATAAAAACTAGACTTTTCTATATTTTGTATATATATTATATATTTTAAAGATATCAACAGTGCATGACTTGGAAGATTAATGTAGAAAAATGTGTGATATGAAGTTAAACCTACAAAGGTTAGATCTAGCAGCTTTTGGAGCTCGTGCTTCTACTTTCATTGGAAGAGAGTTGGCAAAACTGAGCTGGGTTTTTAGGTTGGATCTTTTTCTTAAATCTAGCATACTAGTACATACATATACTGGTGATATTGCTTTTAATATTACTAGATTTAACTTGTGGGTGCTGTATACACATCCTTCAATAAATGGCCAGCAGTAGTAAAATGCTTGTTAAAGGCAGATCTCTCTCTGAGCATCACGCGAGCCATCCTCTGAAATTTCAGCGAAAAACCAAGAATCTTTTTGAAAGGTGAATGTTTATCAACGATTGCAAAAGCCTTATTTGAGAAATAGTCTAATGCCAGTTCCACATTTCATGCATTTTCAACTCTTATCTACTGATTCATTCTCCATTCAAACATCTTTCAAACATCAGGAGTTTAACACAACTTTCAAATCTATAATTTATGAAAACATTCAAAACCGCTGATTGAGATTTTTAAATTTCGACCCACATCCCACTTTCCCAACTCATTCATCATACAACTTCAGCTGCTTCAATGAAGTGAGGAGCCCGGGTTAGCGCCTTCCAGCAGCCAGCATTCACACCACAAAGTGTGAGGAGAAGTCAGTGTGTTCCTCTGTGAGGACCACAGGGCTTTAGTGACAGGTCACAGAGATCAAACTCAGCTGACAGAAAAAAACTGCTAGTTTTGCAATGTTGGTAAATCCACACCTTTGACCCAGACTGACATATTTCTGTACAGCTACAGGACGGATTGCAATGATAATGTGTACAGATGGAGGATGAATCTTATTGACTTCGGTGGCTGGTATGCTTTTCCGAGCCATACTCTTAACTCAACAGAGCGGTTAGGCCTACTGTGGATAAACTTTACCAAATAATTAATGACCAGATTTCAGCGTTACTAAAACTAGAAGCAATAGAACCCAAACTGTGTTTTTGAGGACAATATTCATTGTCTGTCAAACATGCTTATCCTCCTCATACATTCTGGCTTAGAATGGTCCTGAGTGGGACTTGGGTCAGTGCTCTCTCTCATTATAAACACACTGGTAACATGTATGCTCTCATATATATATATATATATATATATATAT